ATTGGTGTTTTTAGAGATTATACAGCAAGAGACAGGACAGAATTGATACTTTGCAGCCGATGTTGTGCGCATTCGTTTGGGAGGTGGTGCTAACTGTAGGCACTGCTCTGTCTGAAGCTTTGTTACTTAGATTAGACTTTAATCTGAGCTTTATTTTAACAAAATCTGACCATAGGGATCGACTTAGGCTACATTTTTATGACAACGGTCGGAACAGAAGACACAAAAGTGGCGTCGCGTCTTCACTTTTTATTCCATGTTTAGACGAGCGTTTTCGGGAGGAAATCTGCGTGCATACGGTGACGCAAAAGTGTGTGGAATTCAGGTTTCTGTGTACTGTATGTATGTGACGTAAACGTGTACGTCGACGTGAGCAGATCTGACCAGAGTTTTGCGTCTTGGGCAGCGTAGACGAAACGCTAAGACGGAGCATATTCAACTTTTCCACTCTGGAGGGTGGTGTCAGATTTTTGCGTTTTTAAGCCCCAAAAACGCCGTCACCGTCTAAATGAAAGGCACTTCCGATAAAATATTTTGTCGTTTTTACCCACAAGTGTTGGAACTACAACAGGTGAGATGGTTTGTACGCTCAAAAAAGTCTCATAGTGGTGCTAACTGTAGGCACTGCTCTGTCTGAAGCTCTGTTACTCAGGCTAGACTTTAATCTGAGCTTTATTTTAACACAATTCAAACATAAGGAATTACTTTGTTGGAACTACAAAAGGTGATTGTGCTGTTAAACAAGTCTCTTGCACAAAAAATTACAGCCATGATCGCTCGTATTGATCACAGACTCCTGAAAATGTGTTGTTTAAATCAATTTTATATATTTTTTTCTTGAATTTTCAGACATTCTATGATCTGTCTGTGTTTTGCTAATGTGTGCGCTGTGTCACTGTAGATACTGCTGAACATTCCGCCGTAGACATGCATGCAGAATACCCCGAGCATGATGTCGAGATGAGACGAGTATCAGTAGAATCGAAAAACTGACATGACATTTTGAAAACTCACGTGTAATTCAAATCTATGTTGTGATCATTTTTAAACACAAATGTCTTCAGCAGTCACTAGGGATGTAACGATAACCAAAATATCGTGATATCGTATCGTCAAAAATCTCACAATATATTGAATTACAAGTTTATTTGCTTAACTTCATTGTTATGGTGCTAAACAACAGAGAACTACATAGGCCATGATTCTTTGCTCTGTTTCAGTCCAGTCTACATGCTGAAATAACGGTTATGAAGCACTTTTAAATCTTAATTATTTGTATTATTATTATATTGTGATAAATATCGTACAGTGAGCTGCATATCGTGAAAGTGTCGTATCAAGACACTGATTCGCTACTAGTCGCCGTTTTGTACTTATCACCAAAGCTCAGTCAAACAGTGGTGGCGCGTGACGTGTTTTGCCCAAAGAAACAACAACAATACGCAATAGAAGGGAATAGCACCGTGGTCACATTTTTATACAGGGCTTTTTCCACCTTCAAGGCACTCAAAGCGCTTTACAACAAGGAACCACTCACCCATTCACACATTCATTCATACACCAGTGCACACAGACACTCTGGGTGAGGTGGGTTAAGTGTCTTGCCCAAGGACTAAACAACAGCTGGAATGACACTGTCAGCCTGTGGGTTAGTGGATCTCAACCAATGATGTTTATGTCAAGAGCGGGATTCAAAGCACCAACCTTGGACAAATGTTCTTTCCAACTATCGCCCAAACTTTGCATAACAAGGCTGAAATTTTCTACCAAATGCGAGACTGCTGCCACAAGTTATCAAGTGTCTTCAAATCTGAGCTAAGTCTATTTCAAATTGTGAAACATTTTAACAACTGCTCATGGTGTGTTCACATGCACAACCAAAAATCTGATCGTTATCTGATTTCTGGAGATGTACTGAGGCTATGTTTACACAGAGCACACAGCATCGTTTTCAAAAAAGTTTTCGTTTACATCAACCCACTTAAATACGACATCGAGCGCCATCATATCTACACTAGTCTCTGGGCGGTTCAAACCTGTAGCATTTATTTCATTACAGTTGTAAGTTACTGAGCAGGCTCGCCTCTCCACAGATCTGTTAAAGAAGTGGTAAAATCGGAGACCTCCAAGCCTCATTCGTCTCTGGTCATGGATATGAAACCTCAGCTGTGTGTGCAAATGTAAACATATGAAGAAATGTGACTGCTGCTCTGAATGCTTCATCATCATCATCAGAGCAAAATGTAAACATTGGTCGCACTTTTGGCACGTCAGGTCCTAAAACTCTTTAAACATTTATCTCAATTTACACGCAAATGCCAAACCAGAGTTTTCCAGAATCTCCACTCTAGCCGGAGTTTTTAGAAAGATTCATTTTCAGAGGTGAATTCACCGTTTGCATGTAAAAGATGGGAACAAATGAAAGGAAATGTGTCAGTTTAAAAAAAATACCTGTGTACGTGTAAACGGAGCCTGATCTGTGTTTGCATGGCTGATTGTTTAGAATCCATAGCAGCCAATGCCCGATAACTTCTACCGATATTCATTATAGACTGTATAAAAAAGTGGACAAAGCGAGTGTGACGTCACCCACAGCGTTCAGCTCCAGTCAAATGAAGCTCATCGAGGCTCGAGGTTATAGAAGCAAATTTAAAGCCGAGTTCCATATTCGGAATAGGAACAAAACAGCGAAATAAAAACAGCGGGATCATGTAAAGGAAATTAATACGAACATTTTAAATAAAAATAAAAAAACAACGAGGCTCGCTGCAGCAGTTACGGATAGAGGTGACATTTTCTCAATACAAAGCGAAATGGAGCCAGAGTCGGATGAAGTCGGATGAAGTCGGAAGCGCGCCCGTGCTCACAAAACATACCTGGAGTTGTGTTTTGTCTACATCTCCAAAGCTGAAAATGCTGTGTTTCGCCTTGTGATGTCATGAAGCGGTAGTTTTTTAAAGTTAAGAGCTCCTTTTACGTTAATTTCAGTAGAGATTGGCAATTCATGAGGTGAAAATGAAGCCTAAATATGTAGAGTTTATGCGTTAAACACATGTGAATGAAACAAAAACACAACTTCAGGTCTGTTTATGACGAGAAAACGTGATAATTTAGATCAGAAAATCGCAGAGTATGGGCCACAGGGAGCAGTTAGAAACATATTTAGTCATTTGCAGAGGAAATAACGGCATTGCAAAAACTGCAGCCTTCGCGATTCCGATTTGATTCCGATCCGCCGAGTTGAACGCGCCGCACCGCCGATTGTAAAACTTCGCTTATCTCTCCACCCCGTCTCCACCTACTCCGCCGCGGGACCCCCCTATCCCTCTTCTCCTCCTCGCCGTACGCCTGGGTGTATCTATCTTGGCGCAATATTTACCGCGCCGGGGTCAGTACCGCACTGATTTGTGAGCGACGCTAGATTTCAGCACCACGGACAGCGCCAGGAGAGAAAGAAAGAAAGAGAGAGGGAAGGAACTGAACGGAAAGGAAAGGAAAGGAAAGAAGGGAGATGGAGAGATGGATCAGTTGTGCCGGTGTGCTGGCGAGGGGGGTTTCCCAGGCAAGGAAAGGCAAACCGAGGCGAACCGTAAAACACCTCCTCCGATCTCTTTCCCTCTCTTCTTCCTTCTTTCGCTTCTGGAGAGCGGAGGACAGGGCATTGCATGAAATATTGATCCGGCCCCTTGCTTCTCTCAACACGGGATGGAGGGAACAGATGAAGGCGATGAGGAGAGGAGAGGAGGAGGAGGAGGAGGACAGAGAGCGAGAGAGAAAAGAAAGAAAGAAAGAAAGAAAGGGGGGTCGCGTTGTAGACTATTGAAAGAGAAGTAGGTAGGGGTATTCCACGCTTTTTTTTTTTTTTTTTTTTTTTTTTTTCAATCACATCCTCCCTCCACTTTGCGGTCATGGCAACACGCCGCCTAGAAACATGACAAAGCAGTACGCGGACGTAGCCACCCGGTACGGCGAGAGGCGAAAACGTAAAAATAAACAAATAAATAAATAAAGTTAAAAAAAATAAAAAATTAAAGGGAGGCGGCCAGCAGCCACCAACCGCCAACTCGTCTCCCCGTAGCGACAGGCGATTTTTTTTTTTTTTTTTTTGGAGAAGTGGTGGTGGTGGTGGAGTGGGAGGGGGTGTGGGGGGTTGATTTTTTTTTTTTTTTTTTTTTTTTTCCGGATAAGTGACAGACAAGCCGTCATCGCTTTCATACGTAGCCACGGAGCGTATCAAATCCCGAACATCCCAAAACGCATACTCCACCACCACCACCACCACCACCACCGTGCCCCCTTCCCGTCCCACCCCCCTTCCTCCCTCCTCCCTCCTCCTCCCACCTCTCCAACTGCCCTCCCGTGTAAAGATGTGAAAGCAGGCCGTGGCAATAGCGTGTAGTCAACGCGTGGCCCCCCTATCCCTATCCCCTATCCCTTCCTCCGCCGATCGTCGTGCGAATAAAGCGCCACCTCGCCGACAAATGTCACGGAAAAAAAAAAAAAAAAAAAAAAACACCGATAAGTCCGCGGTGTGTTAAGCGCGCGCGTCGACAAGCACACATAGTGAAATGAATAATTCAAGACGCATCCACGGAGCGCTCGCTGTGCAGTGGGGTGACAGCGAAAGGCAATGCAGAGGTTTTTCGGGGCAATTTTTGGGGGGGTTGCGCGTTTCCGAAGCGAGCCACGTACGTACGGCGCGCTGGATGCTCGGATGCTCGGGTGCTGGGATGCTGGATGTGGCGGAAAAAAAACGCGTAAAGAGAAAGAAAAGAAAAGAAAGAAAGAAAGAAAGCGCCAGGCCACCACCTCCGCGTCATGACATGTATGAAAACCGGCGGATGGGAGAGGAGCACGGGAGACACGAGGCGAGCGTTACCGGGGCGATGGGGAATGAGGCAGAACGAAGCAAGGTCGCGGTGGATTTGGCGTGTTTTTGCGTTTTGCGTAAAAGACGGGAAAAAAAAAAAAAAAAAAAAAAAAAGCAAGAGGGGGCTCACCTGTCAGGACGCCGACCCGAATTTGGTGGTCGTGGTTCGTTAAAATCATCCCGTCTGACGCCATGTTCAGCAGCGAGAACTCACGGCAGGGCCCCGAGCCGAGAGCATCGAACTTAGACGGGAGAGGGAGGGGGGGGGGGGAGGGAGGGAGGGATGGAGCGAGGGGGGGAGGGAGAAGAGAGAGGGAGAGAGGGAGGGAGGGAGAGGAGAGGAGAGGAGAGGAGGAGAGAGAAGGCAGAAGAAAAAAAAAAAGGGAAGGAGAGAGAGAGAGCCAGGCGAGAGGAGTAGAGAGCAGAGAGGAGCGCACGTGCACACCAGGGAGATGAGATGGGTTATTTTCGTTTTTTTTTTTTTTTTTTTAGGCTTTATAATGATTACAAAAGCCAATCAGGAAAAGTTTGCATCCTAAAACACAATCTATAGACTGATGATGTTAAAGGAGAAGAAGGTGTAGAAGTTTTATGTCCGATTTCATAAACACAAACCGTCTGTGTCCACAAATATGAAGCAAACATGTTCTGAATCCGACTGATACTTTTCAAATGTATTCCCCTACAGATTACATACCCCAAAATGTAGTTTGTAACGTAATCCATTAAGTTACTTATTACTAATACTACTTTGGATTATTTGATTTGTTGCAGAGAAGCAAAGACGAGGAAATCGTAATACAAGATGTTTTGTTTGCTAAAAGAAAATGAAAAGGCAGAGTCTTTAAAAATATTATTGATAGAAGACGAGGAGACACGGTCCGTGCAGCATGGTTTAGTCCTGTTAAATCCTGGTTTAGACCTAGTTTTCACCTGGTTTAGTCCTGGTTTAGACCTAGTGTAGAACTGGTTTAGACCTGGTTTAGTGTCCGGCAATTTAGTCATGATTTAGTCATGGTTTAGACGTAGTTTAGACCTGGTCTAATCCTGGTCTAGTCCTGGTTTAGTCCTGGTTTAGTCCTGGTCTAGTCCTGGTTTAGACCTACATTAGACCTGGTTTAGTCCTGGACTAGTCCTGGTTTAGACCTACTTTAGACCTGGTTTAGTCCTGGTTTAGTCCTGGTCTAGTCCTGGTCTAGTCCTGGTTTAGACCTAGTTTAGACCTGGTTTAGTCCTGGTTTTAGTCCTTGTTTAGTCTTGGTTTTAGTCCTTGTTTAGTCTTGGTTTTAGTCCTGCTTTAGTCCTGGTTTAGTCCTGGTTTTAGTCCTGCTTTAGACCTAGTTCAGATCTGGTTTAGTGTCCGGCAATGAGTGGAATTACCAAGAAAAAAAAAAAAGGGGGAATAGCCCAAAATGTGAAAACACCAAATAGGTGTTGAGGATCTCCTTAAATATGCTGCAGGTGAGGTGGGCGTGGACAAGCTCCACCAATCAGGGACCAGAATCCAACAGCCAATCAAAACGAGTCAGGAGAGCAGTCCACCAATCAGCTGCGAGGGCTCCCACAGCAGGAATGAAGACAGCCAGTAAAAGAAAATAAAACACACAAAACAAGTCAGAGAACTGGAGGCCTGGGGCTGGAACGTTCACTACCTAAAGCCCATTACATAAATCATGTGCTAGTGCAGCCTCTGCAGCTCAGTGAGTGAATTCTGGAGGTTCTGAGCTTTCATATAAGGCCTGGTCTGTTCATAAACTCAAGGGTGGTGAATAGTTCAGCTTCAGAATCAAAGCAGATGTGATGCACTGTTCCTTAACATGTCTGTCAGCCAATCAGAACGCTGAGGGCTCATGTTGTGATGTGTACATGTATTTGGTCAAAAAGTTAATATGAAAACTTAATGGATAACAGATTGGAACAACTTGGAAGACACACAAACTTTACAGACACACACATGTTTGCATATGAGCCTAATGTAATGGTCCATTGTTGTAGTAAATGAATAAAGAAAAGTACATGGATGGACACATGGACATAGACACATGGATTGTTACACATTGTTATATACTGTGTAACTTTTCTGCTGGAGGGACTGTCAAACACTTCAATACTGATCAGAAGCGTCCGATTTCTGCATTTTTTTTTTTAATATATATTTTTGATAATTTCCTGACACTCTCACATCTCATGCAGCCCTTCCCATCCCCTGATAAAAGCTCCTCCTCTCCCCTTTTTACCACTAAACATGGCAATAAAAATAAGAAATAAGATGTAACAATAATGTCTGAACTAGTTATTTTTTGAATTGATTAATTAATCATAGCATTTATATAGCGCCTTTCAAGACTCCCAAATGATGTTCCCAGTGGTCTCCATCCAGGTCCTAACGAGGCCCAGACCTGCTGAGCGTCTGAGATCTGACGAGCCGGAATGACCACAGTTTTTATTATATGTTATATTTACATTAAAGGTGCATGGAGTAACTTTTCAAATCAACTCAACTAAACAACTAAAATGTCAACATCTCAAACTGTGTCAAAGGCCAAAGTAAACAAGTGTGTTTTAAGAACAGAGTTCAAGTTACAGGTCAGATCTGTGGAGAGGCGACCCCGCTCACAGTCAGAATGTTGTTTTTCTAGGTATTTTTAAGCAGTAAAACCCCTTCCAATTGAATAAACGTCACATAGAGCTGTTTAATGTCACACTGTGGAACATTCCAGGCAGAGCAATGACACATAAAGTTACACCTTTAACGGACTAAACCAGGACTAAAACTGAGACTAAACCAGAACTAAAACTAGACTAAAATTGAGACTAAACCAGGACTAAAACTGGACTAAAACTGATACTAAACCAGGACTAAAACTGAGATTAAACTAGGACTAAAACTGGACTAAAACTGATACTAAACCAGGACTAAAACTGGACTAAACTGGATTAAAACTGAGACTAAACCAGGACTAAAACTGAGATTAAACTAGGGCTAAAACTGGACTAAAACTGATACTAAACCAGAACTAAAACTGGACTAAAACTGAGACTAAACCAGGACTAAAACTGGACTAAAACTGGACTAAAACTGAGACTAAACCAGGACTAAAACTGGACTAAAACTGATACTAAACCAGGACTAAAACTGGACTAAAACTGATAAAACTAAACCAGGACTAAAACTGGACTAAAACTGGACTAAAACTGAGACTAAACCAGGACTAAAACTGGACTAAAACTGATACTAAACCAGGACTAAAACTGAGACTAAAACTGGACTAAAACTGAGACTGAACTAAACAGGACTAAAACTGACTAAAACTGACTAAAACTAAACCAGGACTAAAACTGGACTAAAACTGATAAAACTAAACCTAAAACTGGACTAAAAACTGGACTAAAACTGGACTAAAACTGATACTAAACCAGGACTAAAACTGGACTAAAACTGATACTAAACCAGAACTAAAACTGGACTAAAACTGATACTAAACCAGGACTAAAACTGGACTAAAACTGGACTAAAACTGAGACTAAACCAGGACTTAATATATATATTTTTTCTCTTTTTTGCTTGTAAACCCAGGAATTCCCGGTCTCTTACATCATTCCGAGCGCTCCGACAGTCCTGCCCACAGTCTGGCTCGTGTTGACAGATGAGAGGGTCCACAGACGGGGCCCTGGTGCACCCCCCCCCCCCCCTCCCCCCCGGAGACGTCACCTACAGCCCCCGCTCCCTCGCGCGCGCTCGCTCACGCCCAACCTGTACCGACGCGCTCACCACATCCCCGGGCCGTGGAAACCTCACCGAGCTATTTATAGTCGTCTCTTCCGTATCCTTTTGTTTATCTGAGAAAAAAAAAAAAAAAAAAAAGGAAAAGGAGAGCGATGGAGACTTCTGTTGGGAATGTGAGCGTGGACGTGACTCAGTGAAGCGGACGGACGGCGAGCGCGTCTGGGAGCACGGTCCAAGTGCTCGCTCGCGTGACTCCGGGATCTGTCGTTTTTATGTTGTTCGTTGACCTAGACGAGATTTTTTTAAGTGTTTTATTGTTATTTTTTTAGTTATTTATTTATATGAGAGAAAGGGAGAAAGAGAGAGAGAGAGAGAAACAAAAGAAGAGAGAAGGAGGGGAAGAGAAAGATTGTTTTTTTTTTTTTTTTTTTACTTATTTATTTCAGAGATGGAGAGAGAGAGAAAGAAAGAGACAAAAGCGTGAGAGGAAGAGAAGAGAGAAGGAGAGAGGGAACGAGGGAGAGAGATAGAGAGACAAAGAGTGAGTGAGAGAGAGAAAGAGGGAGAGTCAGAGGAAGAGAGCGAGAAAGGGGGAGAGAAAGAAAATGGGCGAAAGAAAGAAAAAAAGAAGAGACAAAGAGGGAGTGAGAGAGAAAGAGGGAAAGAGAAAGAAAGAGAGAGACAAAGAGTGAGAGAAAGAGAAGAGAGAAGGAGAGAGAAAGAGTGAGGGAGAGAGAGACAAAGAGAAAGATTGAGAGTCAGAGGAAGAGAGAGAGAAAGAAAATGGGTGAAATAAAGAAGAGACAAAGAGGGAGTGAGAGAGAGACAGAGAGAGAAAGAGGGAGAGCAAGAGAAAGAGAGAAGAAGGATGAGGGAAAGAAAGATATTGTTTATTTATTTCAGAGAGTGAGAAAGAGAGAGACAAATTGGGGAGAGAGAAAGTGGGAGAGAAAGAAAGAAAGAAAGAAAGAAAGAGGGGCATAGAGAGAGAGAAAGGGGGCGTGAGAGAGAAAGACACAGAGAGAGACAAAGAGGGAGAGAAAGTAGGAGAAAAGGGGAGAGAGAGTGAAAGTGGGAGAGAGACAAAGAGGGAGACTCTTTCTTTCTCTCTCTCCCACTTTCTTTCTCTACCCCTTTTCTCCCTCTGTCTCTCTCTCCTTCTCTCTTCTTCTCTCTCTCTCTTTCTTTCTCTCCTTTCTCTCTGTCTCTCCCCCCATCCCCTCACTTTCACTTTCTCTCACTCTTTCTCTTTTGTCTCTGTCTCCTTTTTCTCACTCCTCTCTTTCCCTTTTCTCCCTCCCTCTCCCTTTGTCTGTATCTCTTTCTCTCCTCTCTCTCTTCCTCTCCTCTATCTCTTTCTCTCTCTTCTCTTTCTCTCTCTCTCTCTCACGCCCACAGAGCACAGACGGCAGACGCTCAGATCTGGCACGAGCCGAGGGAACGCTGTTGGGAAACCCTCACTGGAAG